TGCATTGTCTAAATTAACACTAATTAGAGAAACATTAGCCAAAATAACAGCTTTGCTTTTAAAATCACAAGAGAGTTGGATGACATAAACAAACAAAAGTGGCCTGAAAATCAAAATATAATATGAATGGGTACATTTTATATCAACTCTACAGAATTATTCTGATTTCAGACAATCATGAATATTATAAAACAAAGACAGTTTAATTCAAAATGCAGTTAAATAAACCACAAACATCAGGACTGTGTTACATTGAAGTAAACATTCTATCAAACGAATGTTGCTAACTGGCCATAGAAAATGTTGATGTTTTTTTCACTAAAAAAATTAAGAGGTATGTGATGTTTAAATACATTTAGTTAATATTGCTTTAGTTGGTGCATTTGAAACATGTTAAAAGTTTTTTTGCACTGAACTTTACCTTACAGGTAAAGAAGAATGTTATTTTGTCAAAATGCAAATGAAAAGCAGGCAGATGCACCAAAATAAATTTCCAGCAGTACAATACTTATTTTTAAACATGCACATCGATCATCCTATCAAGCATGCACTTTTTAAGCACCAGGCTCCATACAGTGACTGAAAAAAACTATGTATATGACACCATTACTTGGTCATTTTAGTAATGTTCATTGTTTCTTTAGGCAATATACCTTTAGAGAAAGAAAGTGAAGCAGACAAGGTTGGTCCAGTTTTTTATCCAGGGCTATATATCATGCTGTTTTATTGTCTAAATGACATGAAATATGAGAGAAGTGGATTGGAACACTGGCCAGCAACACATCCTCCGCAGACGGACCCCAAAAGCATTCAATTTAGTCTGAGAGACTACTTAGCCTTAGCTGATTGGTTTGTAAACATTACTTGAAATCATCCACTTTCAGTCTGGGATGTGTAACAATTTTTGGCTGCATTTAAAATACCAGACTGGGGGTGAGTTGCTAAATAGGGGAGGGTAGGATGAATGGGCTGTTAAGCAAGAGAAAGGGAAAAACAGTTTAGTCTGTTCTATTCCAAAAAGAGGAGAAACACAGCCTCAAATTACTTTGGCTGGGACATGAAAGTAAGACAGGGTGGTGGTTAAAAAAACGATAGCACTTAAAATACAGCTGTAACCGCCAAGCCAATAACTGGGAAAAAAAAGAAGGGAACGTCGCTTTTCAACCTTTCGAAACCAGCGTTTGTGTACTCTGCTACTGTTTCTTTGGCGCTGGGAGTGGCCCCGGATCGGGGCACCTACTGTCTGGGCCCCGGCCTCATTATAGCCTCTTGGGGTTTCCAGGCTGCGGTGAGAACGCGCGCTGGATGCCTTTAACCACTAAAGCTCTCATTATAGTCTAAATGCAGCGCGACACAAGCCCTGCCAACTGCAAGGTAGGAGCTCCAGCATTTCAGCGCATCGTTGTCTCAACAGAAAACCACCATTTCCACCCCTGAACATTAAGTTAGTTGGGGAAATACACGCTGCAAGAACTTTACATGCATCAGAAGATTAAGTTCAAAGGTCAAAAAGCTTGTGGTCGTAGGGAAAAGTGTAGCCTAATCTATTAGTTTTTTTTATTTTTGAAGGAGGATTCAAGGGATGCTCTGTCCTCTCTGAGAGGAAGTGAGGAAAAAGCCACATTATTCCCTCTGGCTCCGGCCGACGACACTATGAGTTCCATCTGGACTTTTGCGTGCCCCTGCCACGTCCAAGCTTCTTCAGTCGAATGACAACAAGCACGAGTCTGCTCAAAATCAGAGGCAGCTGTGAGCTGCTGCACAGCATCTGCAGGCCATGGCACAAAAGCAATGGTGCAGGACACCCAAAAGTGCACAAATGACAAGAGGTAGATGGCGTTTTCCTTTGCATCAAATTCGTACAGGTCCGAGCCGTTGGCAATCAAAAAAAGCATTCATTTTGGGAATCTTTTAATGAAATGTTTTATCAACCATCTTTCTATAGATTTAATATTCATAACCCTTAAACCTTTCTCTGTTTTTCCATGTTATAATCACACATTTTAAATGATTTTATGTCCTAAATGGTTTGTAATTGTAAACTAGAAGCATGTTGTGTTCATATACAGAGCAACCAACTGCCAGTAAAAGTCAATTCATTTGTAAATTGTGCATTTGTGTGAATTTATTCTTATTAATACAGCTTCCTGATGATTATTGTTACTCCAGTTGCAGAGATTAACAGCAAAGGCAGAAGGATCAGCTGAAGGGAACACCTCAACTCTAGTCTTTATCAGCCAATGTTGAAATTAAGGCCATAAAATGCCAAGACTGCAGGTTTCTTCAAGCAATGTTGGAGACTTTACCAACATCTTGAATAGGACAAAATTCTTTGGCTTACATGCCAACTGCTGTGTGTCAGAAACATTCACCCAGACCTCACAACATCCCCTAAGGTATCATAGTAGCGATAACAATAAGAAGGCTTTTTTTGAAGAGAGGTAAACTGGTAAAAGTTCATAAGAAGCTGGTTAAGGGGTTTACAGGGTAATAGTAGGAGAAGAGAGCTGAAATTTGAGGAATAGTTTCCTCTTCCAGCAGATAACTAAAGCTGCAAGGGGATCGATTTAATCACAGCATACAGTTTGATTTTAATGGCCCAGTCAAAGCCCAAAGCTTAATTTAAACAAGAATCTATAGCAAGACTTGAAATTTGATAGTCACTGTTACTTTGCATTGAATCCATCTGATCCTGAGCTGTTCTACAAAGAATTAAGCTTAGTGCAATGCTGATGGAGACAAAAACCCATTCAATACATACAGTGGTAGTTGCAGCAAAAGATGGATCTAAATCTTTATGAATCAAAGTTACTTAGAAACAAATTTTCCAGATTTTCATAAGTTGAAAACTGAAAAACTCATGTACCACAAGAATGCATAGTGAAGTCTGTGTGTTTTAATGTGAGAAGTGTGAATCAAGATCAAGTGGAATGTACACTTTTGAAAGGAAAGGCGGTAAAGGTTTAAACACAGTTGACTTTTTAACCAAATTACTGAGTGGATCATATGCACAAGGATTAAGTTCTCTAAATTATAGCTTCTCCATTCAATTGCTCGACACAAAACTGCTTCTTTTTCATTCCCAAGACCCACTAAAGAGGTACTTCAAGAACGTTTATTAAAAAGCAGATGTGTAAATAGGAATAATTATATTTAGAAACTTCAAAACATGTTTTTATAAAAAAATAAATATATACACAAATAAAAGTTCTGGAGCCGTTTAAAGATCACTTAAAGTTGCAGTTTGGATCTGGTTGCTACACACACAGCGATGTTTTAAAATGAATTACAGACTTAAACTGTACCAATGTGGGGCCTGGTTCGAGAAGCTTTAGGTTTTGGCAACGGGGCCAAATCTACATCATCAACCCCCAAACCCCTGAAAGAGAGCAAAAGCAAATTAACTTAATTTATTATTTTTGGCCCGGGCAGCATGTGCCACTTTTCGCACTCTTCAGGCAAAGCTCATGTGCTGTTAACTTTGGGGAATGCGAAAAGGAGAGTCGGGAGCCTGCATGTGGTGATTGTGGTTAGATCTTTACTCAGGAACAGTGCCAAGACCCCCACCCCCTTCCCAAATCACCCCCACTTCTCTTCCCCAATCCCACAATCCCCTGCTGTATTTGAACCCATACCTGCTGAGGTCTGGCCACTACTAAACACTGTGCTACAGAAACCCCATTGGTCCAGATCAAACAGCAAAAGAGGAAGACCAAAATACTTCAAAACCAAATGTTATAGTGCCAACCTGATAACACTATACAACTTAAAGATTTGGTTCAATCTAATCCTTTTTTTTTTTTAAAACACACCACAAGAATTTCCTTGAACTTTACCGGAATGTTGTACACTACAGAAACAAATATCTTTGGCAGAAATCAGTTTATGAAAAATTTAAGATATACTTCTTATTTGGAAGAACAGCCTGAAAAAAACAAGTCTACTCCAAGTTGTCAGCAGCTATGTTTGTAAAAAACAAAAACAAAGGTTAAATAGATGAAGGTTCTGATGTAAAGCTTGAGGCGCTTCCTTAGTAAAATATGTATCCCAGGTATATTATGCTTGCAGCAAGACTAATCATCAATATACTTCAAGTTTGTTCATCATTATTTAACAAGAAAAATTATCTAATTGTAGAAAAGCACAAATTAAAGTGTATTAGGTGAATTATTATGTGTTAAAATGGAACTTCAAGTATACAGGTTTGTATGCATTATTAACATACCTACTTAGTAGGAATATTTGTATACCATACTTAAGTTCTTAGTACATCTAAATAGTATTTTAAGTACCCTAAATATAATAGTATGCTTCATTATACTTTTGATGTATTGTAATTAAAGTATACTTTTTAGCTACTGATCTACATCCTGTATTACTCTGCTATACCACCTATATGCCACAATCCAGTACTGCAGAAAAATTGGGATAACTGTTTACACAAGGTTGATTTAAATCAAGGACCACTAAACACACTTTCAAGGTGAAAAAAGTACTTTGTTTATTAAATATATTCACTTTCTTCTATGGTGCATTGCCATTACAGAAACATTTGTGAAGATATTAAGTTTACAGATATTTTCTCTTATGACAATTTACACAAAAAAACTCAAAACAATATTTTTTTTGATAAAATTGTTTTTTTTAGTGGAAAAGCATTATAAAAAATATGTAAATTAGGATAAAACATCGTTATAGATCTAACGTTTCTCAGTTGGGAAAACAATGCATTTTACAGAACCATTATATGCTCTTTGTTTTAGATAAACTACTCGTGTTACGCTTGTGTCTGATGGCCGCTCAAACATCAGAAGCACTTGTCTTTGGAAACTCCTGAAGAGCAGCATCTGCAGAAAATAAAGAGGTAAGGTCAACATTTTCCTCCATTTTTACTCAATCGACCAACTTTTGTCCAAGGGATTAGCAGTGAGCAAAACATTGAATGAATTGTGATGATAGTAAGAAAATAAAACAATAGAAGCCTTGTAAACAGCCCTGAGGTTATTCACCAGTTATGGTGAACCAGCTGTCCTTTTGGCTTTCCCCCTTTTCCAGACTTCCCAGTCAATGTGGACTAAGCAAGGACCAGTTCCTAAGCAAAAATAGTCAAACGAGATCTGTTCAGCTGCAGGAAGGCTCTCTTTGATACAGTCAATGCTGCCAGCCAAGTGGTCCTGTATGAAAGAAAGGGAGGGGAAGGGGAGAGGATCAATTGAACAAATGAATATATAGTTCAGTCATCGCTAACAACCCATAAGAAAATAAAACTTTCAAATAAACGTTATGTTCAGCCAGCAGCTACAGAGTCTGAGGACCCAATCAGGTAAGCTGATGGCATCAATATATATTAAAAAAAAACTAATTGACAATCACAGACAAGCACAGGAAGCAACATCAGGATGTAACCATGACAATAGAAACTACAAACTAAAACCAGAACTAAAGCAAACAAACACCAGAGGAAGAAAGTACCAAAATGAAACATAACCGCAACAACTAAGGGGCTTTTTTATAAAACCTTTTGAAATAACAAACATAGATACAGTAAAATAAGGCTAGAAACACTGAAGAACTCCTAATAAGGAAGAAAACAAAAACAATGTGACACAAACTTGAGAAAAGAGCAAACTCTAGGACAGGGAATGAATCCTGAACGACCACAAGTATAAGGATAGCAGCCTATAGACAGGAATAATACAGTTTGGCTTGCCTGCAAAATGTGTATAGGATAAAAAATGGATAACAGCCCCACATTGTCATAGTCTCATTGACATGAGCTTAATGAAGTTCAGGTGAAGTTTATGTATTAAACTTAATTCAATCAGCACCTCAGACCACAGATGATGGAAGAGGGGGAGCAGCAGCAGGTGTAACACGGCTTGCAGTGGGAAGTAGCAAAAAGTGGACTGATTGTTACAGGTTTGAGTCCTGGGCTCAGGAGGAGCCTTTCTGTGCTCAGTTTGCATTCTCTCCGTAGGTTTTATGAGGAAACTACAGAGTTCATGTGTGGAAGTTTCTTTTTTTAATGGCCTGCTCAGTTGCAGCGGCTCAGGCTACTGAGCACACTACATTTCAGAGGGGAATATTCTATTTTCAGGGTCACATTTAAGTTGTTTATAAGATTATAACAAGATCCAATAAACAATAATTTTCCCAACATCTTATTGTAAATGGGGAGTGATGGCCTAGAGGTTACAGCAGTGTGCTTGTGCTCTGAGAAGGTTGCAAGCACCCGGTTGGATCCCCACAGCCTCCACTCTGGGTTCCTGACCCTTAACCCCAGATTGCTCCGCGGGGGCCACACAATGGCAGCCCACTGCTCCCCAAGGGGATGGGTAAACTGCAGAGGTACATTTCTCCAATGTGAGATCAATTATTATGTATGTAAATGTTCAAATTTGCCATGACTTTGAGGCGTATGGGTATGATTTTTATTTACACTAATGTTTTTTGACTTGCCATTTTCTATCATTCTTTGCTCGTGGGGTTTTTGCCCAATTAATGCTTCATGCTTAAACTTGTTAAATGTTTTTCCTTGTTGTAGCCTTGCTGCTGATTTTTGCACTTGTGATACTAATCATACAGTATCTAATCAAAAACTAAATACTAGATAAAATCTGTTTTCTGCTCTCAGTAATTTGAATAACACAAAGACCCCTTTGGGGTTCTTTATTTAAAACTTTATAAATTCAAAATTGTTTAAACTACACTTTGAACAGCAGCATGTGGCTGATGCTTTAGTGTTACACTAATAAGCAAATGTCTTATTCTTAGCATGGAAACAAACTAGTACGTTTACTCTTTATAATTACAACTAGCCCAAATGTTGCCTAAATGTTGTGTATTTTACTTGCATATGAATTTATAAGCTGGACACATAAATTTTTCTGCTTTACAAAAAGCTGGGTGTTTTACTAGCTTACAGTAATATTTAATTTAGCATAAAGGCTACTGTTTTAAAATGCAGATCTAGATCATTTGTATGTACTCACCAGCACAGCTGTTTTAGGCACCACGTCCGCATTTTCTTCTGCATGCGCACACCCCTGCTTTCCTCCTTTGCCCATATATCTTCACCCAGCATGAATACTTTCTTCTTTGAGATTACGTCTTTGGACCAATCTATAGAGACAAGAATAGGCATAATTTAACTTACGCCTTCCCTCTCCCTATAGAATTGCACAATTAATGTTGGCAAAAACTACAGGGACATATATTTACAGGTTTAATTAACTTGAAACGTACCTCCAAAAAGCAGGACTTCAATTTCAGGCCACGATGTCACTTGAAAATTGTTCAGAATCAGCGAGAATGAGCGATGTCTCTTTTAGTGCTTTGTTAAATAAGTAATAGAGACACCATGCAGGACACAATGACCCTCTGCAGCTCTGACTGGTTGGAGTGGAACAACAAATCCATCAAACATGATTGGTCAGGGACTCATGGCCAGTGTGGAACTATTCAGAAGCCTTATATACCAGGTATCTATATAATCTGTCATTTAAAATTAGCATGGCATCTAAATGAAAAATTAAGCAACATTTGAATTCTGAGGAGACTCAATCTGGAAAACCAGGAATAACAAAATGCAGAGGAGTTCACCACAAAAAAGTCAAGAAAAACACAATTGGTGAAATGTATTAAAAAAGTTTTACAATTCTGACAGAGATATAAAAGGCATCAGGTTATTTAGTTATGGTATTAACAAAAAAGTCTTCCATAATTACATTAACAATAATATTATATTAATTTAAGTTACAGGATATCAATTCTGACTATCTTACTTAGTGTTAGACCTTATATACAGAGATGGCAAAAGTACTCACTTTCCGTACTTGAGTAAAAGTACAGATACTTGTGTTAAAAAATACTCTGGTAAAAGTGGAAGTACCGATTAAACTTCTTTACTCAAGTAAAAGTAACAAAGTACAGGCTTGTAAATTTACTTAAAGTATAAAAGTAAAAGTAGAAACCACTTTTTTCATGCCGTTGCCTACATTTTAAATGGATCTCTGCCAATAGGACTAGATCTCCGTTGTGTTCGTTTTCAATCATCTCGTCGTCCATGCTACTATGCTAACGACACCGCCACCAAGCTGCAATGATTTGCAGCGAATGAATACCGCCGAATCTGTCGATTCATCTTGTAGTGGTGCGTCAAATGCAACATAGATTCCCATCCAATTAGATTGAATTTGGTATTGATGACGTGAAAAATAATAACGGTAACTCCATTGAAATGATTCAAAACTAAAGTAACGAGCCAATTTTTTAAAATGTAAGGAGTAGAAAGTACAGATATTTGTGTAAAAATGTAAGGAGTAGAAGTAAAAAGTCGCCATAAAAATAAGTAGTAAAGTAAAAATATCAGAAAAATCTACTTGAGTACACAGTAACGAAGTACAAATACTTCGTTACTTCCCATCTCTGCTTTTATATATATATATATATATATATATATATATATTTATTTTATTTTTATTTTTTTCCATCAAGAACATCTGCTTACAGAAAACATTTTTTAAAATAGGACAGGAAAAAAAAAAAAAAAGTTGCTCTCCAGTTGCTAAACTTTTTTTTTTATTGTAGTGGCAGTGAGTTGTTGTAGAATAGGACAAATTCATTTTTTGATATTCTAGGAAGACCTAGAGAGTCTCTAATAAAAATGCCATTTAAAATTTAAAACAGGAAATCTGAAATCTAGTTTAAAAAGCATTCCCCAATTTCACACTTTAAATTCTATTATTAAAGGGGAATAGTACATTTTGGGTAATAATCTGTTATTAAATACTGCAATTGAAACATTTATTTTCAGATCTTTTTTTCTTAATTGAGATTTAAAAACCAAAATTCATACATTTGATTATAAATACTTTTCCTTATTTCAAATCCTTATTTTATTTCATTTTTTTATTTTTTGTCATTTCCATGTCATATTTTTCTGAAGCACAATCTCCTGGAGTAGCTCTTGAATATCCCTTTTTCATAGTATTGAGGTCAGTGATATAGACCAGGAATTGCTAGCCATTAACCCACCTGTGGAGGTCACAAGGGCACCAAGATCAGTGAAAGACAGAAAATTCTGGAAAGCATCAAAGTGAAGATAACTTCTGTTGTTTTGTGCCTTACTTACTATTTTAACTGGCATTTAAAATATATATATAAGTACTGGCATCATCTCTTTCTTAGTTTTTGCAATGCACACTCTTCTACAGGATAGCATCGAATTGAGCCATGTGGATGTAGCAGATAAAGCTCTGCAAAAGTTTGCACTGCACTTTGAGAAGCAATATGATGCTGCCAATGTTTCAATGTATATTTATTAATGCATTTGTAAGCAAGTGTGTACAACTGGAGACCACATCTACATTTCCATTGGAATCATTCAATGGGGCATTACTTAAATTTATCAATGGAGCTACTCAAATAGTGAAAAGATTCCAGTTGGAAAGTCTCTCAATAAGAGCAGCGACAACAATGGCCAAAGCTAATGACAGCATAATTATGATTTGACACTACAAAGTAGCTCTCGCTTAAGAAACAAATCAAGTGAATTTCTAAATGTTAGAATGTGTGTGGATGTCCAAAGAAAGGTAGCACATCTGTGTTGCAGAGGATGGCTATTGAAAGTTTCATAGGAGTGACAGTTCATTCAGGTTTATTTTATGACCGTTAAATCTATAGCTGTGTTGTTTATCGTTCATATATAACAACAACACTCTAAAAAAGAGAAATAACAATGTTGTACAGTTTAAGTGATGGAATAATAATATGTGAAATGAAGCTGGTGGCTTTTACATCTGACAATAGCTGTAAGATGTATTGCTACAGCATGAACTCACTAGGAATTACACTGTAAAAGCAGCTGTTTGTCTACTTTTTGAAAAATGTTACGAATGGGCTATCGGTACATTTTTTGATGTACATGTTGACATTCGTTTGGGAAATGTACAAATATTTTACTGAAATACAAGCATGAGTACATTCACTACATGGTTACACTCAAATGTACAGAAGAGGATTAGGGCCACTGAAAAAAAAAAAAAAAAGTTAACTGATTTTTAAATTTTGTTTCAGTTTTATATGGGGAAAAAAGACAGAATTCTGAGATTAAAGTCAGAATTCTGACTAATCTACGAATTCTGACTTTAATCTCAGAATTCTGACTTTAATCTTAGAATTCTCACAGCGAACAAACATGTTAGCAACAAGCTGTAGCCATGTATGTTTTAGAGACTAGCTCTCTTGTATTAATCACCTTCTTTTCTGCTATTAATTAAAAAGCATCACCGGGGACGCCTCGGGCACGTAAAAAGTTGCCTAATTCCGTCATTTTCCACCAATGTGTCACTGGACCTTCCTAACAACTCACACTCACATCAGTGAAGCTGAGTGCTCCCACATCTCTTCCTTCATGTTGCCCGTCTACTTAAGATCCAAAATTCTGAGATTAAGGTCAGAATTCTGAGAAAAACAAGTCAGAATTCTGAGGAAAAAAAAGTCAGAATTCTGAGAAAAAAGTCATAATTTTTAAAAATATATTAAAAAATCAGTTTACTTTTTTTTAGTGGCCCTAATCCTCTTCCATGCAAATTTAATTGAAATAATCATAAAATTTCAGCACTTTTCCAATAAGCTTTAATTGTTGTAAAGTTCATTTTGAGCATACATTTGAAAATATACACAAAAATTGTTTCACAACAATCATTCAATTGTACATTTTAGAAATTACATTTAATTTTTACTTAAACTATACTTTAATAAAATATCTTAAAAGTGTGGTGCACTGCAATATTTTAAAGGTGTTAAAAGTTGTAATGAAAAATTTGGTACAAACATGATCTTAGTATAATATTCATATATTTAGAGACAGTACATTTTCTTCTTAGTTTAAATAAAATGATCATTCGATGTGAATATGTTTGGAATATAATAAAGTATATTTATTTTTCACCTTTCAATGGCTGCAAGGTTATGCAGTGGCGCTGAGTGACCAGCAGTTGGGGCTAATTTAGAGCACCCCCACCTTTAAACACCACTTTTAACACCAAAGTATCTTTCTTTGGTAAAACAAAACTGTAGGGATGCATTCAGGGGGTGCTGAAGTACAACATAATTGTACAAGATGAGCATAGGGAGCTGCGACAGGCTGCACTGCAAAACTAAAACAATACAAAAAAGCTCTGAGGCAGGGAAAATCACTTCATTTACAGCATTCCAACCACCCAGCATCTCTCTAAAGCTGCATCCAAGTCATACTCCATTTAATGTGTTTAGCTGTAGATTCTGCTGCATTCATGCATTTGTCTGATGGAAATGGTCCCCAAAATCTATTTAATAAACTCAAAATGAACTGATGTCAACAATTTAAAGAACACAAGTTATATGCATCTAATTAGACACAGATACAAAAAGGCTGCATTGCAAATAAGAGGTTTCAAATCATGAGAGGATGAGAAAAAGTTGAAAGAAATCTACTTAGCAGGATTCATGCAAGTTAAAGGTCAGAAAAAAACATCATTAAAAGCTCTGGCACTAAAGAAGAGAAGTCTGTGCAGCCCTGTGGTCGGTGGCCAAGAAGATTAGGAAAGAATTAGCTCATAAAACTTCAAATAAACACCTTTCAGCGAGAAAAAGCTTCCAAACACAGCCAGATCCGAGCAAATGCAATTAAAGATCCAGAACATAATATAGCCTAATGTGCAAAATAAATAACTTTATTAAATGTAACCACTGCACAGTGTAATTCAGGCGTGCAAGATTATACATTTGGCTCTGCATCAAATAATCTATGCAACTTTATAGTAGAGACCATGTGCGCATATTTGCATTAGAAAGAGCCATAAGTTGTAATAAGCGCATAAATAGATGTGCAGGGCTGCTGTTGCTATTGCGAAATGCGCACACACTGAAAAAAAAAAACCCTGATCGGCTAAAGTTTACAAACTTTCCAAAGCGCGCTGCGAGCTGTTCCCTAAAACTTCTCTTTGCGCGCAAAACGAGCGGAAATTGCGCACAAATTTAGTCCGGTTACAAAGCAAAAACATCTTGCAAGAGCATGTTTTCCCTGTGAATGAATTCCAGAAGATAGGAGCCATCTTGTGACCGCATATGCTTGGAGGATTTAGTGCCATCCTCACACACACAGCGCGCGCGCACACACCATATCCCCACAACATCCGTGGAAAAAAGTTTTATAGCGCGCAATTTGGGGGTCAATTACAGCCCGGATCTGCTGATCGCCCTTAGAATAATAATAATAATAAATAATAATAATCAGACGTACTTGAACGATCTCCCCCTCCGCGCTGATTGTGGCTCCAGCTTTGGAGAAGCGTCCCTGCAGCCCGGTCGTGTAGGTGGTATAATCCCCAGTGGAGCTGGACTCGAACAGCACCACTTCCACAAAGGCTGTATCCTTGGCCAGAACGGCGCCCAGAGAAGCGCCCAGCAGCCAGATCAGCAGGACCACCGGGTCCGGCGCCCGATCCGAGCCTCTCCTTTGGAAAATCATCATCTTGCCGGCTGGATCAGCGCCGATCGGGACATAATTTCACACGGATTAATTAATCGGGTGAAGGTAATTGGGATCAGGTGTAGTCGCGCTGCGGGCGATGCCTCAGTAAAGGAGTCGGGGTTGTGCAATAAAAGCTGCGCCCCTGAGCCGAAGCGTGTTTATTTCACCACTGCGAGCCTTGTCAATTACATTGCCTCAAACGCTGCCTCGCTTTCACCCTCCCTCTTTCTTTCTCACCCTCCTCCTCCTCCTCCTCTACAAAGCGGATCTCCTTTGATCTCCAAACACGTGATTTTTTTTCTATTTTTTTTTTTTTTAGTTTTTTTTTTATATCCCCACCCACCAGTCTTTCTGACCCTCTCATTTGCACTCCCCAAGTGCCAGCACTCGGTTTAAGGAAGC